TCCCGTGGTAGATGGGCAGCGCGTCCATGCTGGGGCTGTCTCCCACTCCGGCAGCTCTCCCTGTGCACAGCTCCGGGACTGCTCCTCAGTCCTCTGCACCCCTCCGCATCTCCGTCTGGCTGGCAGATGTAAACAGGATGTGTTCACACCTCTGAAGCCTCCACGCAGGGCGAGACAGCACTGAGGGAAGAGTGAGGAACGAGCACTGCTCTTCTGTGGGTTTTTTTTTCTTCTGTGGGCTTTTTTTTCTTTTAGCCCCTTTTTGTTTTCCTTTTTTGCTGGCTGTCACATCCCCACGGCACGGCAGCTGGCACACAGAGGTGCCATCTCACAGCCCGCCCTCACTCCCCACTCAGCAGGGACGGGACAGGATGAAGCACATGGTGCAGTGCCCACGGCACCGATGGCTGCCCTGGGCCGGGCAGGGAGCACTGTCCCTGTCTCCAGGCTGAATCCATCAGCTCTGGGCTGAATTCCTGCCCAGCGCCACGCCGCTGCCCTCCCCTGATGAGCCACGTCCCCACGTCTGGGTGTACGAGTAGTAACGCACTAAAATGTAGTGATAGGGTCAGGTCGTGCTTGTGATGGATCCGTTTTAAACGGGGTTTGCTGCTGGGACAGGGCAGAACGAAGCCGCCTCGCCCAGGTGTTGGCAGAATGCCGCGTCCTGGTGGAAGTTCAGGATGGGTGAAAAAACAGCTCTCTAGATACACACGTTTTAGGAATAAAATTTAAACTAAAGATTATCAAAAATAAGGGTTGCTCTTTTTAAGTTTCAACCAATCAAAATGTTTTTTCTTGATCATTTCACAGTACATGTCCTTCAATTCTGACCTTTAGTATCATTTTTCCTGGAAAATATTTTTCTCAAACTAGCTTTAGTTTTTCCTTTTGAGGGATGGGCGTTTCTGACCGGTGAGTCAAAGGGCAGCTCACGCGTGGGGCACTCACTGCACCAAAGTCACCGACGGCAAAGCTGCAGCATTCGGAGCCATCCTCAGCCTCCTGCCCCTGCAGGGACACCCTGGCACCCTCTGCCTCCCCGTCTGGCACCTGAGGGGCTGAGAAAGCTGCAGAAAAACTCAGCTGAAGAGGGATTCAGAACATCCACCACCGTGTTTATGGCTTCTCTGTCTTGTTACGCAGGTGTTCATTACCCTGTTTATGCGAACCTGGGGACTCAGCTATCCTGCTTGTTTTTTTTTTTTAAACCAGTTGCACAAAAAGGTAGAGCTGCTGCCTACTGCAAATGTGATTAATGTGGATGGTGACAAGGTGTAAGCAAAGCCCTGTTCCCTCATAAAGCTGCTGCCTATTTATTCTCCTTTTCCAAACTAGCTGTACTCTTGGAGAGCTCATCTAACTTTCTCATTTCTTAACCCATTCTCAACATTAATAGCTGATTCCAGAAAAAGTATGTGTGTAGTTAGATGGAGAGGAGAAACAACCAGAATCATCCAATTCTGCAGATTTCATTGCCCCACTCGTCAAATTTCAACGAGGCATAGGTAGAAAATCGTAGAACTTTTAACTATGAGCTGCTCTCTTAATAAGGGAGTCACCGCATTACCAAGCCAGCCTGCCTGCTCCCAGCACTTTGATGAAGCAGTATCTATTACTGTGAAAGAGCTGTAAACACCCAATTTTACTTTTGTGGGTAAGGAACCCATAAAACTCCAGCTACTGAACCCCAAAGCCCGGGTTGCCACACAAACTCCTCTACAACCACATTGACTAGGGGACATGCAGCTTTTAAGAAGCAAGGGAAATGCTGGATTTTGGAACAAGGGACACTAAGCAAACACTGAGGCACCAAGCAGGATAAACCAAACCAAAGGACATAGATGCTTCCTGGGCCGAGAAGAGAGAAACCATGACCCTGCTAGCACAGGACTGCACCACACCACTGAGGCTGGAGAAATCCTTCCTTCTCCCAAACAAGCCGACTTCGCCGCAGCTTTGCGCCGTCAGCACCCAGTCGGACTCATGCCAATGGCTCTATTTTTTATCCATTTAATCTTATGCATCTAAAGCGTTGCTTGCCATCCTATTTCATACTGCATATGCGCAGTGGGGCTGAGAAGGCAAACTACAAGATAGAGCAGCAGGCTCGGAGGAGTAGGAGAAACAACGGAGAACCAAGCCTCAAAGGGGTGCTGCTCCAGTTTGGTCTCAGTCCCCAGTGCCTTCCACTGGAAATGGTGATTTCTTCAAGCACTCTGAGCCTTGCTCTGTAGGATGCTGGATGCTTCTTTTGTTTTGTTCGGAGAGTATTCAGCATGTTCTGGACACCACAGTTTTGTGCCTTCCCTAAGTCAGTCCAGCTAGCAGTCCCTGCAGTATACTATAAAAAAATTATCTAAAAAATACATGAGGGAAAGGAAGCACTTAAAAGTGCTCTGAAATATTTGGTCATGAAAAACAAGCTTAGCAAGATAGGCCTGCATAGACCTCTTGGGTCATCAAGTCTACTTCCCTGCTATCTTAGCCAAACACATCATATAATCCCTTTCAGAAACTCATTATACTCCATCTTCAAAGTAGCTTTGGGTTTTTTGTTGTTGTTGCTTCCACTGTTCTCATTGGAAAGCCATTGCAGAATATCGCTATTCTGTTGTTTGGAAACCTGCTTCCAATTTCCATCCTGAATTTATTCATGACCAATTTATACTCATTTGTTCTTGTGCCAATGTTGTCCTTTAGTTTAAATAGATGTTTTCTCTTCCTGGAGCTTACGCCCATGCGGTATTTGTAGCGGCCTCCCTCAGTCTTCGTTTTGCCAAAATTCTCTCACACTTAACGCTCTCCCTTTCTGTGGTCACTCTAATTGACTTTTTCGGGAGGTTCCCAAAAGTGAAGGGAAACATTTGTGAATAGCATGCACTATCCTGGCTGATTTCTAACATGTGCCTCACCCACAGTTACTGGCATTTCATTACGCTGGTGAAAACACCTTGCTTTTTACGTTCTGTGTCTTTCCCCTCCTTGTTCTTTTCTCACCTATGTGCATACAGGTACAATAGAAACCTCATGAACAAGACCCAGATGCGTGAACTCACACTCAAATCCTTCTGAATTTCATCCAATTTATCCTATCCTGGTCCTCAAGGTCACTCAGTTCATCCTAAATGAGAGTTTTATTTGTCTCTGCAGTGACAGCACCTCCTTCCCTTATGCCATTGGTAAATTCCATTAGCATACGCTTATTTTTTATGAGATCATCATTAATAAAAAATGTCAAATAATACCAGGCCAAAGACTGATGCTTGAGAAGCTGTACTACCTTCACTCAGTACTGATCTTCTCCTTCTACTACTCATTTTCTTATTCACTTCTCAATTTCTGTATTAATCTCTCATTTTAGCTAACAATTTCCCACATGGCACTGCACCAAATGCTGTACTTAAGTTTAGATAATTAGCTCTAAGTACTTCCTTTGTCTAGAAAAATCAATTACGATGATATTTCAGGCACCGGAACTTGTAGAAGTACCTGAGAAGTGGAGTGGAGGTAGGGGATACAAAATGAAATTAAGTTTTTTGAACACCTGCAAAGATCTGGGCTGATTTTCATTTTCAGATGAGCTGCTTCATTCATCCCTAGCCATGACATTTTCACACATTGTTGAATTTTATAACAATTCTCAATATTGTAACACTAATGCAAGAGCATCATTAAAATTGTCAGCTATTCTTATTTGACTGAAAATAAGAATGACCTTCAGGACCTTTATGAAATTAATGCTACTGCAGAACTGTTATGGGAAGGCCTTGTATAAAGGGCTATAAAGCAAGATAAAAAGTAAAATACCTGGATTGGTAGTTCTGCTGATACAGCAGTATTATCATAAATGCCAGCCCTGTAGAAGTATTGAAAAAGCAGCTTCAAAATCAGCAGCTATTGCAACATTTTCGGAAAAAATATTTAACTGGCAAAATGCCACATTAAAAGACAGCTAACCTTAAGTATGATTTTCATTATTTCATGTCACTTTCATTTTTAGTGTAATCTAACAAAATATTCAGAACAAATGTGTAGAATAGTATCTGCAGACAGAGACTTGCCATTCACATAAGAAAGGAGTGCTGAGACTCGGTAAAACGTTGGTTATTCTACAGAGTACCTGAGAGTCACCATTATCATGTTTCCTTTTTGAGCTGAAATTAAAGAGGTTGGAAAAAGCAGGCTGCAATTAGCAAATGTGTAATTAGCTGTAAGGTTCTGAGCACCAGTACAGAAGGCGAATCCAAAGAACTTTTGGCTTAAAGGTCACAGATTAACATATATTTCTACAGCCTCCATGTTAGTCATGATATTCTATGTATGCTGTTTGGGGAAAAAAAAAAAAAGGAAAAAAAAATGGAAGATAGTTATAATAAATACAGTTTGGATTCAGGTGAGGATTCCAGCTTTATACTCCAGGACATATCCATGGTTCAGATCTCATTCGCTCTGAGAAAGGCCAACCTGTAAGACTGGGCTGTTACAGAACTGCTCAAATCTTCGGGTAGTTGTGAGGGCGGTCACAGATCCAGGCTTTTGCCCCTTTCAAATTAAACATATAGCCCAGGGGAAATCTTCTTACCTCGGAATATTAAGTCCTCAAGTGGCACATTTGCTACTGTGACGACTTCTGTACAGAGCTCAGAACTTGAAAAAATAAACTTTCCCATCACCTGGAAATGGAGTGTTTGGTGCCATCGATCAGAGCTGATTCTGGGGGAGGATGAGAATACGAAAGGTTGTGGACCTTTATGAATGAAACTTTTTGTAGTCATCAATATTTGTCTTCTGAGCACAGGTAGATAGACATGTACCATAAATGACGACATTTCGCTGAACTTCAGCAATATTATTTCCTCTGTGTGGTCTCACTGCTTACCTGTGCAGTTGTTTTGAATGCTTTGTGAGTGAGATAACATTAAAATTGAAAGCTACATAATATGGTGAAATTCATATTAAAAG